TGGAGAAAAAATAGGTATTAAAATTGATAAATGTGTATTACAGGAGATAGAGTGTAATGTATCTAAAAAATTACACTAAAATAAAAAAAGGGAATTATGTAATATTTAAAAAAAGTAGAAAAAATTAGAGAATATAAAAATTATAATGGTGTATTTAAGTTATTTTTCCAAAATTAAATTAGTGGGCCAAGTTTTATCTAATGTGCAGGTTGACTTGGGAAAACTAAATTCTTTCAAATAAATTATCAAAGAATTCAATTATATCGGAAAAGAAACAATCTAACTCAAACTTATTTTTGGTAGGGACATGAGATTTAACGGATTTGAGGTTTATATAATATGAAGTGATGGCAAAGATGATTATATTAAAATATAATATTAGAAATTTTCTAAATAATTTTTTTTTAGCATAAAATAAAGTGTTTAGTTAGAATATTTTTTGATGTTAAAATAGAATATAAATAATAATTGAACAGGTAATTAATGATAACATTAATTGTTATAGACCGTTAATATACTTTTGTAATCTCATATCATCAATCAATTTCAAAATTTAATATATTTGAATCAATAGGAGAGTAGATTATAATGCTATATTACAACGTAGCATTATAAAATTACAATTCGCCAAAAACAAATATCTACTATTAATTATTTTCCTTTGCATCTTTACCCATCTTTACCCAAACATGTCCTTATAAATTTCGTACTTAGTGTAACTTTCTTTCGTGTCGCCGTTATTCACACAATATCGAGGAAAATTCAACCAAATCAGAGAGATAACACACAAGCCCTAATTTTGGAAATGAGAAAATTCGATCCGTGGCCGATCTTTTTCCGCCGGGAGTGGAGCCGCAACTGGCCGTTTCTGGTTGGTTTCGCCGTCACCGGCACTATCATCACCAAGATGTCCCTCGGTTTTACTGGTTTGTTTCTCAGTTATCTCGTTCTACCTATTTATATTGCCTGAATGTCTTTACTTTCGTGATTGAATCTGATTTTCTTTGGGTGATTGATGATTTTTGCAGAGGAGGATGCAAAGAACTCTCCATTTGTGCAAAAGCATAAGAAGTAAGTCATTGTCCACTTCCAAATTAAATCCTAAATTGAATTGATGTAGATGTATGCTGATTCATATAATTTACTCTTCTTGTGTTTGACTTTTCTGAGTCTTGAATTATCCATTTGTGTGTTTGTATTGTTTGTGATTGATGATGAAAAGCTAAAGCACATGTGTTATTGGGAAACGAGTAATAAAACAAAATATACACAGTTAAAAATTTCTTACAACAGTGATATTAGTTGCTAGGTGTGTTCAAAACCAAACCATAACGATAAGCCAACCGCAAAATTGGCTTATTGGTATTGGGTTATCGAATAAATGGTTGGTAACGGGTTATAATTTTATAATTAATGGCTTATTGGTATGAGCGTGGATTATTAAATAATTTATCAACCGATCATTACCACTACAAAGCCTGATAATAAAACAGATAAAGATTGAATTTTGTTGCACAAAAAGGTTTGTGGATTTATTAGACAATGGATTGACGACAATATATTGAACCATATTTCTGTAGAGAAAGTAGATACATGGTCGGATCCTATGAGAACATCTTGAAAGTTCGTATGCTTGAAAGACTAGAAACAACCAAATGATCTTGGTAAAGCAAATGTTAAGCTTAAAATATCATGTTGGTTCTCCAATGATAGATTATCAAAAATTAATTTCAGGGAATTATGAATCAGTTATATGTTATGGGCATAAAATGCATTTAATTTGATGAAAAAATTCAAGGCTTGCTTCTACTTGGTTCCCTACCAGGCTCTTGAAAAACATTTAGAACTGCATTATCAAATTTTGCTTCGGATGGTGTAATCTCTATGAATTTCGCCAAGAACAATGTCCTGAACGAAGAGATGAGAAGAAAATCTCCAAGTTCTTCGTCAGATGTCCTGTCTAATCCCGAGGGGAAGAAACAAGAATTGTGGTTTTCAGAATAGAGACATAATAAAAGCAATTCCAGAGGCAAATGGAAGGATAGTGAATCTTATTATTGTGGCATGTAGGGGCACACAAAAGTTCTGCTGAAAGTTGAAGTAAGAGAACAAAGACAAAGACAAAGTCGAAAAGAAAGAAGATGACTAAGACTTGAGCGAGAACTCTATGTACCATGCAAGGACAAAACACATTGCCATGAGATATCATTGGATTTGTGAGCAAGTGCAGAGTGAATCATATCACGTAAAAATGATTCACATAAGGACTACATGTACCATGCAAGGACAAAACACATCGACATGAGATCTCATTGGATTTCGTGAGCTACTGTAGAGTGAATCATTTCACGTAAAAACGATTAACACAAGTGAAAATCCTATGTATGCAGATGTTATACCAAACTACAAGTTCGACCTATGTAGAGAACTTGTCGGCTATGTTGCTCGAACTCTTCAAAAATGTCGACGGATGTATGTCGTATTCTCCAAAGATAGTGTATTTTTGAATGATCGACAGGGTGCGACAACATTTTTGGAGAGTCCAAGCAACTTAGCTTGTCGGCATGAGCTCTCTCTGAAAAGATAGAGACACCTACTTTCAGGTGCGGTGCATGCCAGGAGGGTAATGTCAAAAGGCATTCTTGCGACTTTTTGTCACTTTGAATTGTTGTTCCTTATTGATGTCATTAGTGACATGAAAAGGGACAATTTTCTTATAAATAGAGCACAAGCTCATTCGTAAATAGAGAAGAAAAATATAGATAGCGTAATAAGGTATTTCAAAGGCGGACTAAGAAAATAGTTTGTGAAAGAAAAATATAGTTTGAGCAATATTTTAGTAGTGTAGAAAATCAAAAGAAGGTTATTTCTTTTGAGTGCTCTCTCTATATTTTTTCTTCTCTGTGCTTTCTTCTCTTTGCTGTATTTACATATGAGCTGAAGTGCTTTATTTATAAATTCTTATTTTGTCCATTTTGATGTCACTAGTGACATCAATTAGGAACAATAATTTAAAGTGATAGATGCCTATATTTATATGAAGTTGTAGGAATGCCTTTTTGACATTTGCTGCAATCCTGCAGCAAATGAAGAATTTGTTGCATGGACCCCACAAGTGTAATGCAATGAAAAAAGAATCAAACATGGCTTCAGGCTCTAGCACTTTAATTATGGACTTGTCTATTGTCGCTCTGTTACCTTGATGTGCTAAGAACAAATAGTTTGAGGTTGAGATTTTTCTCTTGTTATAATGCTCTAGACGCAGGGATAGCAAAACCTTATGACCTGTAGGAACTATAACCTTATGGCATGGGAGAGGGATGAAATGTTAAAGAAACTAAGGGCAGCTAATGAATTGAAATTTAGCTATTAGTGTTTGATGTCTACGTATAACAGGCTGTTAATTTGCAAAGTTTTGTTGTTGAGGCTTGAGGGTAGTAAGCTTGTTTATGTTTGCATTCCTTATTGTTAATAGATGATCAAAAGTGAGATACTTTTGTGAAGCGAGCCAGAGAATTTAATTTTGTAATTCAGGAGTGACTTATGGTCAAAGAAAGGATTTCTGCCATCGAATATATATATATGTAGCGAGGCAAATAGTTAAAGAAAGGATTTCTGCCACGAATATATATATACGTGGCCAGGCAAAGTTTTGAAGTAGGTATCTTTTAGGTGTAATGTTGAGGAAAGAACTTACAAACTCATGCTAAGAACTGCAACCGGTTGGAATAGGATACAGAGCCTATTAACAAGGATATTTTCAGGTTAATAGAAAGAACAAGAGACAGGCTAAAAGGTGAGCTGCAACCGCTTGATTGTGAGCTGTACAAAATCTAGAAGATCTGGTTGAGTCTGAAAGAATCTGTGGAAACGTAAGATTCAGAGTAGACTTAAATGAGTAAATGACTAGGAGTTTGAAGTGATGAGAAATTTCCAAGTTGTATAACAGATACAATTACCTCAGCTACAAAACAGAGATGAATCAAAGAAGAAGGGAAATAAGGCCAGCAGTTTATCCGGTAAATTCTACTTTTTTAGTTTGTCCAAGGGGAATGTCCCCGTGGAAACATTTCTGAAAGAATTTTGGAGGAAAAAAATTTCACCAAAAATTGCTTTCATATGGTACATGAGGCCATCCTAACTCCTGACAACCTAAAGAACAAGGGATGAATTTTTAGAAATAGATGCTACTTGTTTGAACAAGAGAACATATGTGGAATATGTTTCTAGCTTGTCCGGAACAGTCATGAAAAAGAAAATTGATGTGCTAATGGTATAAGAAGCAAAGAAGACATGGGAGACAATACCATTGTATATGCATACCAAAGTTGGATGGAGAGAAGCAAAATATGGGAAATGATACCCATTGTACACAGCTTATAAAGAAGCAGGAGATGTTTTGATTAGGAAGCTGTGAAGAAAAATACTTAACTGGATGACAACAATTATTTTGGGGCAACCAGGGGTCCAGGACCATGTAGATGATGTAGGTGTCTCTGTTGACCTTATCTAAATCTTTTTAATGTGCCTCATTGGTGCTTTATCTTGTTATAAAAAGAAAAAAAGTGAAGCGAAAGGGACATCAAAAAAGTAACTAACTGTAAAGAAATAGGATTAAAGTGTTGAGTTATTGTTCAGAAATTGGGAAGCTAATTTTACTTTGTTTGGTTTTCTCTTGCATAATTAAAGCATTGACATGGTTTATCCTTGGGGTGCTTCTATTCTAAAAAGCTTAAATTGACCTTGACCTATATATAAGTAATCATGTTTGAGTTGGCTAGAGCATAGAAAGAAAAAACATGAGTCAGGTGCTGTTGTTAGACTATGTTGCCTAGACTCTTAAAAAGTGTTGTTGAGTGTGTGTCAGATCCTCCGAAAGTAGTACATTTTTGGAGGATCCGACATGTTTGCAAGAGCATTTTCTGAGAGTCCGAGCAACATAGCTGCTGGACCTAACTGTGAACCAACTGGGTGTGTGAGGCCCCCTAGGTCTCTTTTAATGGGCTATTCCATCACATTGACGGCCAATCTTGAAAATGTTTCCTCTTATAGATGATTGCTTTCTGATTGGTTGCAGATATTCTTCTTCATAGAATTAAACCTGACTTGTTGGGGGTACAGTGTACTATTATTAGTATCACTCATGGACTGTTAATTGCAAATCAATATCAAACTTTAGTTCAGCTGTACCATCTGTCAGTAATATAGTGGAATGATACCATCATATGTTGCTTAAAACTAGGAGTTATGCTGAGGAGCAATGTGATGAAATAGCCCATGTAAGGCAGTCATGATATTATCCCATTGAAGCGGGATAAAAGAATCCTTGGATGATTTTCTATAATCTCTTAAAAACTCTGGATTATTTTGAACAGGAATTTTATCTTCATTTTTTTTTTCATTAGTAAGTTAAACCAAACCATCTGATCTAAAGGCTCTATCAAAGTTTAATATCCCATGGTTTTAAATTTGGTATGTAAAGTAAGATTCCTCAAGCCATGTGGTCCTCGGGATCCTTGGCTTCCTAATGTAAAGGAAAATTGCATTTCACTTGGTTGATATTTGTTATACGAAACCATTTCTTGTACAACTGGATTATCCCAGTATGTAAAGTCACTAAACATCTAATTTGTTTCTGTGCCTGCAGATGAATCTGGCCATCCTTAAGGTTGCTGCTGTGTGGAGGCTACCTTACTTGACAGCTCTTTTTTCTTTTGTGCACCTTTTTTTTTTTATGACTATCAAATACAACATTTTTGTATTGCATAAAATGTCTCCTGAATCGTTGTTGGAGAAACTCGTGTTACTGGAAATTGTCATTTAACTGAAAGCTGCATTTTGTTTTCTGTTACTAAGTTTTGTTTGTGATTTGCATCTAATCCTAATATTTAAATTGATTTGCACCCTAATTTCTTTGCAAGACAATAAGAACACTATTTTCTTGAAATCCAAGAGGGCAAAAATTGGATATATCAAGTTGGGGCCTAATGTTGTTCATGATTTTACCTTCAGAGAAGTTTGTAGATACGAATATGTAGCTAGCTGATCTTGAGGGCATCATTCTCTGGTGTTACCATGCAAGACGATTGAAAGAGCAATGATGCATGTAATTAGTTCGATCATACTCGTATTCTAGTAATGCCAAATAGTAGTGCTTCTTTAAATTTGGGAAAAAAGGCAACAAAGTAGCGCTAGCTGGAACTGGACAATGGGTGTGTGTCTGATACCTCGATGTCAGCTCTTCGCCACCTGGGGCTGTTCCAAGGGTTGGACTATTCGTCTATTAAAACGGTACATGAACTGGATTTTAGGATACATATATATTGAGCCAATGTTCATATATCTAGAAGCAACTACGTAAAAATCCACTTTTATTGTAATTCTCAGCTCATTTATTTAGCAATTGGTTCTTTGAATTAAATGACAAAATATTAAACAAAATGACAAGTCACACTCTTTACCTAACACATCCCTCTCAACCTATCCTATTATCTCACTCGTTTTTCTCATTTGGCCCAAAATTTCTATATTATACAAAATTTAAGCAAGATTTGAAGGTGATTTTTTTTATAAATTTTTTCGGATAAAGTGCTATATCTAATAAATGGAAAACTCCTATATATACGGGGAATTTTTTTTCTCCCTTTTATAGATTAGTTACAGTAAAAATAGCGCGTAAATATTTTTGGGAAGGAGTATATCTCAATTTGACATCTCATACACGTACAAACGTAACCCACCAACCAACCGACGCTCCATTATTTTGAGAAGAAGCCTTTCTTCTTCATCATCAATTTTCAGCTCATTCCTCTGCACCTTCCTTTTTTTTTTGTATTGTAATATACACATATTGCGTTTTATTTTTGTTGATTAGATATTGATATTCAGAGATCGAATTGCTCTGCTATTGTAATTTTTTTTTGAAAAAAATATGGATGAATTTGGCGTTTTGGTTGAGAGATATGGCGTCAAAGTTCAAGGAGGCAAGTCAACGCCCATGGCTAATTTGAAGGCGAAAAACAATTCCAGCAATGGTTTTCCGTCGAATCTCGGGTTTAATTCGGGTCAAAACACCGGGTATAGCTCTGGGGATCCATTTGCGGATGATCTCGATGGAATTTTCAGGTCTAAGACTTCGCCGAACTACGATGATAATGATATTTTTGGAGGTGTGTTTGCAAATTCAAAGCAGCAGCAGAATAATGTGGATATTGAATCAGTATTGGGAGGTTCGAGTTCGGGTAATAATAATAACTATGCTAGTAAGAATGTGAATGATGATTTTGATTTGTTTGGTACGGAACCAAAGAGGAGTGACTCGATTGATGATATATTTGGGAATTTGGGATTGAAGTCGGATAGTTTGAAGAAAGATCCTGCTGTAAATAGGTCAGAAGGTGATGATTTGATTCCTGGATTTGGTGATTTTAGCTCCCCAAGTTACAGGTATGTGTATTTATTTAGTTCAAATTCTTACCATGCGTGTTTGAATTTTCAATTTTCTTTGCCCTCTGTTTATGTTTTAGCCTAATAAGTCAGAACCTTCCAGTAGATCCTCTATTTGTTGTGTCGCTATATTGTTAGTTTTGTGAACTATGACCGGAAACTGAAAGCATAAACCTCCTTTGCTTCATTATTTAAAGCAATAATTAACTGAATCCTAGGCTAGAAACATTATAAGTATTTCTGCTATGAGCTTAGGCTCACTATAACATTGAAGACATATTTGGTCCTGCAAATTGAATGTTGAGATGTGAGAAAATATAGAGGTGGTATAGAGAGAGGATCATAGTTTCTATGAAGTATATTACATGAATCTCCTTTTTACTACTCCCTCCATTTCACTTTGTTTGTATATTTTGATTTGAGACGGAGTTCAAGAAAATAAACAAGACTTTTGAATCTTAGGGTTTTAAACTGAAAATATGTAGAATGCACGAAAATGTCATTTAATTTTGTGGTTTTAAACAAGTCGCGTGATTCGTTGAAATTAAAGAGTTTCCAAAGAAAAGGAAAGCGACATTCTTTTTAAAATGGACTAAAGAGGAAAGTAAGACAAACACCTTGAGATGGAGGGAGTATCTTTTTCTCTCCAAGTGCTTTTCAAGTGTTTGATTGATTACTACATTTCCATTAAATTATAATTTCTTTACTAGTTCACTAGCATTTTGATCTTGAAGCTGCTTCAGGAGACACCATCCATGTTGAGGCAAAGAATAAAGTTAACCTTCTTAATACCCAAATGGCTCAAGTTAGGATCTGACCATCTTATGATATACTCCCTCTGTCCCTATTTAGTTGTCCACTTTAGAAATGACACATATTAAGAAAATAATTAATGATGTAGTGAGTTTAGCATTTACCCCTATTAATTATGAAGTGGATAAAATGTTCTATATTTTTCAAAGTAATTAGTCATTTAATTAATTTAGGGTATAATAGATAAAAAAAATTGTACTTTCTTGATTTGTCAAAATGGACAAGTAATTAGGGATGGATGGAGTAATTGACATTGCCAAACAAACATTTCAAATGTATCAATGTGTAACTCAAATCTACAGTGATGGGAAGCCTTGCAGAACCAATGGAGTCAACTATCTTTGCCACTTTCTTGTTTTTTATTTATGTATCACTCTATTCATCCTCAGAAGCATTGTTAAAACTCTATATATTTCTGTTTGTATAGCAAAAAATCAGACCCGAGAAGTCCTCAGCAATCAAATTCTTCTAAATCAAGCTCCTCTTCACCAGATGATCCATTTTTGGTTTTTGAATCATCTACCAGTGAGGCAAATGCTTCTTCTTGGCCATTTTCAGAATCGTCGGAACAGCATCGTGGAAGTAATCCCGTGACATCTTCAATTGACGAGCTTGAAAATTTTGCCAATTTTAAGGTTAGGAGTGATACAACCGAACGACCACATGTTCCTAAAAAGGACTCCTCTGTAAAGAGTCCTGTGGACAGAGCACAAGAGAAGTCCAAAAATGTGAGGGTGACAATCAACAAACCAAGCAATACGACAAAGCCAAAATCTGCAGCTGAGGTATTGATCAAGACTGTTGCGTTCCAAGATTTTGTGTGTACTGATGATGAACTAACCTTTTTGGTTCCCATGTCATGTTTCTCCCTATACCCTTCTTCTTTCAGGGACATATGTCTGCAGGCTTCCATAAGAAGGGAATGCCAGAAGAAAAGAAGTCATCGTTGAGTAAAAAAAACGCGTCGCCTGTGAAAAACTTTGTCGATGACTTAATGTTTTTTGGAGGTGACTTCATATCTGTAAAAGAAGATCCATTTCTTTTATAGGAATTAATCCATTAGAATTTAATAATGCCAGCATTTTACATTCGTCTTAATGCAAATATGTTATATTATTTCCTGTTGATATTTGTTCGCTGTTGTGTACATGCAGACTCTGCTCCTTCCTCCGAGGCATTTCAGGAAGTTGAGGATGAAAGTGAAGAAAGAAGAAATGCTAGGTTGAAACATCATTTGAAGACCCAAGAGCGCATGGTGATCTTTCTTATAACTATCCCTTTAACCGAGTAGTGTGCTACAGTTTCCTCGTTTCTTGCAATAACCTTCTTATTATTGGATGAGTATTGTGCTAGCATATTTGCATAACTTGCAATAACCTTCCTATTTTTAGATGCATTAAGTCATCCTTGATTCTGCTGAAAATGAATGGGTTTGAAGTTATTAAAAAAAGAATGGGTTTGAAGTTGTTTTTTATGTGTGTCTATTTGAGGAATTGAGCTACATTGAGAAGAGAAAAATCTGTATATGACTTGGTCTTTGCTTGCGATTCTTATTAAACTGAGAAGCTTTAAAGATGTACTAGAATAGGCTGTGTGAAGAACTACTGGTCTGTGAGTTTTTGGCCTGTGATGGTATCTCCTGAACTATCATTCCCCTTAGATGCCAAGTTTTCTCTTTAATGCATTGGATCAGACTTAAGATGGAGAGAGGGAGGGAGGGAGGAAGAAGCTTTTGTCAAGTACTCACCACAGTCATCAAAAATAAATAAATAGAGTGATATTCTAAGTTCCATTGTAGTTTACAGGTAACATTCTAAAACAATGCAAGCAGGTCTCTTGTTTAGTGGGTTGCATTCTCGAGATTGGTTTGCTTTGTTATTTGTGCAACTTTTATCTTACCTTTTCCGGAGGCGGAATCAGGATTTGAATTTTATTGGTACTAGGATCTAACCTTTGGAGTTGTTGGGTTCTAAATTATAATTTGCACTTACTAAATAGATTTTTAAAAATAAAATCAGGGGTTTTGCCAAAGATTACTAGGTTTTGCCGGACCTGTACCGTAAACTGTACATCTGACCTTGACCTTTATCATTGTAGTGTAATCATGAGTATATAAATGGGCTTTAACTAACAGTTGGAATTCCATTTTTGAGGTTGAGAAGTGAAGAAACAAAAAGTGAAAAAAGGTGTAGTGTTGAAGGATGGAGTAAGGTTTCCTTTGATATGTTTGAGTTGTTTGCTATGCTACACGGATCCTTTGTTTCCTCTCTTGAAGTGGTGTCCATCCACATAACAGCAGTGCTTGAACAAGATTCATATAATATTGCGTCATATCTGGAGGATCCTCGACTGGCCGTGAGTTGAAAATGGAAGGATGACCAACGGAGAAGAAGATGACAAGAGAGAACAAAGAATACAAAGAATTCTGTATAAGAAGTATTTTTCATTTTGAAGCCAAAGAATCGTGAAACCCTCCTGGGGAAGAAGATCTAGGGAGATGAATGGAAATGCGCGAAGAGAGTTTTTAGATGTGGGGGCTACAGATTGGAAAGTTATTGAATTGGAGTAGATGTGCCCTTCTTCTGGACTTGGTGTCGGCTGTTGTTTTGTTTTAAAAAGGTTTCTTCAGCCAACTTGATCCAGATACCTTAACAATCATGTACGCTTATATATCTTATTGGGTTTAGGATTTAGAAGCCGCCAAAGGTTCAAGGAAGTCCATTTTGCTTTATGGAAAGAAGTCCAGTATCTACATTTTGAGTTGAGGAAAATAGAAATAAACATTTAAAAATTGAAATAGACAAGTAATGAGACGAGCTCAATTATAGAAAATCAACTGGAGTGTTACTAATTGCTTCAGTCTTCTCAATTTTTGTTGCTACATTTTTAACAA